AATCATTTTTAACACTTATTTTTAATATTTGTTAAGAATATAGTAGGCTCTAGCTTCTCTTGATTATCTTGGCCAACTAATGTATTCTTAGAAATGGTTTGCTCTTATATTGCTATATTTTCATTTATTAGGAATTGATTATCCCTCTAATATATTTATTCAATTATTTAACCTTTCTAGATTTACTAAAATATATTTAAGAGGATTTTGTAAATATTCTGCTTCAGATTCTGTTTCATCTTCTGGATATTTATAGCAATTGAATTATAGATTTTTTATTGGTTTACAGTTATTTCCTAATACAAGATATCTATAAGTTTTATTATTTTCTTGTCTTGTTTTATTATTATGATAATATTTAACTTGCCTTCGATTTCTAAAACTCTGAATTCTTATAGAAACTATGCTGGATTTCATAGATTTTATATCTGATAATGGGTTGTAAATTAGATCCTTATATATTTTTATTTTCTTATATCTATATTTCTAATAGTAGTTTTGTTATATTGTCAAAGAATTTCTTCTTTGAGTCAATAGTATATTTGGTACTTCCAGAAAGATATAGATTTTATAGAAAAATATTGTATATTGCTTGCATGCATTATTTCTATCTTCACTTAATATAAAGCAAATTACTGTAAAGTTTTATTTTCTAAGTGTGAAAGAATTTTTGATATATAATATGCTTTTGCTTTGGTACTATTTAATACTTTAGCTATTAAACTAATATATATTTTGTTTGTACTTAAAACTCTTACTAAATTGATATTTCTTTCAATCAAAATTTATTGATTTCCATATCATTTAATTCTAATTTTGAAAAAATAGTTCTTGATATTTTGATACCAATTGAGTTATTTATTTTTTTTTAGATTGAACTAAGCTATTTGTGCTATTTGATATAGGCCTTATCTTTGGGCTTTATTTTCATTTTATAGGTATGAATGTTTTGAACTTCTTCATATTTTTTTAGATATTTGGATATATTTACTTATTAAATTTTTGATCTATATACACTAAATAAATATGATATATATTAATGTCTTCCATAGTTTTAACTTTTTGAAAAACTTTTTTGTTTATGTTTTTTTTGGCTTTTTATATATTATATTTAGTTTAAAGAGTTATGTTTTGAATAGTAAAGTTATTCACTTTTTAGTTTGTCTCTTCTATACATTTCAGGATATCTTCTTTCTTTTATACCCAAAATGTTAACTACTTATTTTCATTAATAAATTCTTTTTAAGAACTTTTTTTCTATTTTTGAAAGTTTTAAAATATTATTCAGATATACCTTGGTTTTTTATCCTATTTTTTCAAGAATATTAACTATTATTGCTCCTAGTCTATAAGTTTCTTTTTTTTTTTAATATAATATGGATTTGTTGGTGAAGCTGAATTTCTATTTCTAGTTATATATGAGTTACATTCTCTAATATAATAACTATTGATCTTTTCTTAAAACTATTATAATTCCATTTCTTTTTACTTCTTGACACATATCATTGTAACTTTATCATCTATTGTTGAGTTTATATATATTTGCTTAATATTTTATTGGTCGGGTTTAGAATTATATAAGCTTTCTGGATTTTTAATAATTTTAAAAAACTTATTTTATATATAGTATTATAAAAGATCTTCTTTATTTCCTTTTTTAAGTTGCCAAAGATATAAGATATGGTATATTAAAATCTGTTCTTTATAGAAAGTTGTTTTATTAACTTCCAGTATATTGATAATAATACTATCTATAATTATATATATTTCTAGTGCTACTATAATTTCTTCTTTGAATTCAAATTCTCTTTATTGTAGCAATTGTTAAAAGGTTCAAAGTTTTGAATATTTATCATATATTTTTGAAAGTTTGACCAGTGTGTTAACCATGTCCTCTTCTTTTTTACCTACTATTTGCAATATGTTTTAAATTCTATTTATGTTTACTACTATAGGTACTATATCATATGTATTGAATGTAATAGGTTCTATATTACCACATAATTATTGTTTGCTTAGTTGTTATATTTTTACATGTTTTTATTATTTACTTATATATCAATGATCTATATTTAGAATATGAATAAACTTATAATGTGTTGACAATATATATCAGATTTTAATAATATGTAAAAACCTTATTGTATTGTTTTGATATGTTTATTTGTTTGTACAGATAATCTTAACCTAATAGAAAGTCACTATTGTGATGTTTATGTAGAGAGTTGATCAACTTTTTTTGATAATAAGTTATATATGTTTATTATAATTTGTTTCTTTTATATGTTCATGTTTATGTAACAGAGTTTGAAATAGATTTGTTGTATTGATATATATGTACATCAAGATTGTTATATCTTTAGAGAGCTTTGATATCCTTTGATACCTTGGGTCAATTTAAGTAACTTGATTTATCAAATAGATTTAGTTACTTTTGAGATTCCTTGTAATATCAAGAAAAGTATTAACTTGTACTAGCCTGGTTATAAATTATGTAAAGTTGATATTGGTTCCCTTTTTCTGATTGTGAATTAGTTGTCAGTTGATGTTTCTTTTTTCTAAAAATTTTAAGAAAAAAAAGAAAAAAATATAAAAAAGTTTTTAGTAAAATTACTTATATCTCTATTTTTGATATTTCCAGATAGTTTTATTATATATTTATTATATAGGTTTGAAAATTATATTATTTTTATATATTTAGGCTGGTTTATTTTTTTCAAGAAAATTATCATAAAATTAAATTTTTTGAAAAAAGAAGGATTAGAGAAAAGAGTTTTTTTTTCAATGTTTAATAACTTCTTTAGACCTTTCTTAAATAAGTATCTATACACTTTTAATTTTTTATGTACTTTTTTAATTATTCTTTAAAAAGTAATACTTGAAGATTATATAAATAAAAAATATTATTAGTCTTACTTTACTTAGTTAATTATTTACATATAAGGGATAATTGTTCATTTTCATTTTTCTAGTTTCTACCTTCTAATTTCTTTCTCTTTAATAGTAATGTATAGTACTTAACTATTCATTTATTTGCTTTTATGAGGGATTAAAATGTGAAACTATGAATCTTATTAATTTAGATAGTAAACTTTCAAATTCTGATATCTTAATTGCTTTAGATTCTATAACTACTATAGAATCAAGTTCAAGTTGCACAGATTTGAGCCAATCAATTTCCTTCTTTAAATCCTTTATTTTGTTTTTTTATTGTTCTAATTTTTGGAAAAACTTATTGTAAATATATTTCATTTAATATAATTGTTTCACAAATTTGGTATTTTCTTTTGACTCTTATATGTAATTCTTTATTTTCTAAATAACTCAGTTAATTAATAAAAGTAAATTTTAATAATTTCGTCATAATTTAATTCTAACTTTTTCAATGTTCTCTTTAGTTCAAGTTTTGAATAACAATTTAACTTCTGACATTAATATTTGTGCAACCTCATACAAATATTTTAGACAATATAATAAATGACCTTTTCTAAGCAATTTGGCTATTATAATAGGAATTAAAGATTTGATATCAAGTATTATTGATTGAACAGTTGCTGCTTCTAATACAATTAATACAAAGAAAGTTGTAGTAGAAAGAAAGGTTACAAAGATACAGAAGGTGATTGTTCTCTATAAAAAATATATACAATTAATTTTTTTGTTCAGATATTTTAGGAATATTAGCAAAAAAAATATTAAATTAATAAAGATTTATTTAAATAAAATTATTTACATTGTTTTAATACTATTCAAGGTTGTATATAATATTATTATACTATTATTTATTAGGATAGGAAAAAGATTTGATTAAAAATTATTATCGTAAAATCAATGATTTAAAAGGTAGCAACTTAGATAGTGAGTAGCGGGAAAGGAACTGTCATCCTCGCTTTGCGAAGGGTCTAGGGGCCGGCAGGCGTGATATTTCATGCTTTATTCCTCCCTTTAAATTCCGCTTACTATCATATTTCATTTATCCGGCCTCATTTTACAAAAAATAAAGAATTTCACATTGATATTTTTAACTTTTGTTCTGAAGAATAATCTAATGAAGAAGAAAAAATTATTGCCATTTTTAAAGGAGACATTGGTTTATTGATTTGTGTAACTTTGAAAATCATAGTAAAAATTTTAGATGTGACTGGTATTTACCCCTTCCACGATACGCGTACAGCACGTTATATACCCTTTTATCTTCCACAATACGATAACAGCAATGTCAAATGAGTTATACCCTGGCAAAGCAGGTATTCACAAATAGTAAAATAATACAAGAGAACTACCTTCCAATAATCTGTGTTTAAATTCTTGCAGAGCTAGTCGCCTACCTCGACAGTACGGATCCATCTAAATGGTCCTATTTTGACTTTCTTTCTTCAAATTTCGAAGTGATCGTTAATTCGCCGCCAGACACTGACGATATTAAGGGTCTCGCTTGCACTTGGTTGAAACGTTTCAAGTTCGAAGTAGAAGCAAAAGGTCATAAAGTTTCTAAGGGGAGTACGTTTCTAAGTCGAGTATGTTTCAATATTAACAGAAAGGCAATTCTTGCCAGGTTACCACCTGAGACACAGAATATGAGTATACTTACTCGCCGAGTACTAGGGGGTTTTTAAAAAATCTTGCCAGGTTACTACCTGAGTCAAGAGGATCAGTATACTTACTGTTCCCCCTATGTGCGATTTTTTTTATTATTAATCATGAATCCCGTGTCAACAGATATTGTTTTAATAACTATGAATTAAACTTCTAAGAATAACAGGAGAATACAAGAGTTTTTTTGCGAAGTAGTTTCTGCTCGATTGGAGGTTAGTGATGCCAGCTTTGATAACCCCTTTTCATTAGCATATTGGCACCTTTAATTACGGTTCTAAACATTGCAATAGGTCGCACGACAACAAAATATTACAATTTCGAAGGTAGGTCTGAAACGATTTTATACCTATAATTATTCAGCAGGTTTAATGGAACTTATTCATAATTCACATAATTGGTCGAAGGCTAAGATTATTGCGGACGAGCAAGGTATTAACCTCGTGGGAGCATCATGTGAATTTTACGAACCCGAAATTATTGCAGAATATTTACATAATCGGCAAAATCCAAAGCGTGACTTGAATGACGACGACGAACATATTGAAAGAGATCGATTTTTAAAGAAAGGACGAAATGCGGACGGATCAACTCCTCCGAACAAGGTTAGGATATAACATAAATTTAACTAGCAAAAAATACCTTATAAATCTTTTGCATGTGTGCATAGATCAGAACTATCAACGAGAGGACTTCTCAACGAAAAAGATATGATAGTGATTCACCACCCTGCGACGAAGACCATTTTTCATCAGACTCAGACTCCGAGATTGTACCTGTTTCTCTTACAAACGTCTTTCTTGAAACTTCCATCGAGCATGAAAGGAATCCAGAACAGACAGCCGAATTGGATACATCTTCAATATAAACAAAGGAAACGGAAGTCAGGAGTCGGAAAACCAAAAGACCATATATCACTCGTGATATAGCGGCGGAAGTTCTCAAGAAATATCAAATGTGTGTTTTGGCGGGCAAGAAGTTAACATACAATGATGTAGACGTGTTGGATTTTGTTCGCTCAAACATGAACAAAGACATGAAAAAAGCCCTCTATGTATTGGTGTTATTAATGTCCACAATCCCGACTGCACCAAGTTTTTACCCGACGACTTTAAACATTTTATTACCAACCAGCTTCAAGACCAAGACTCTGGGATCAAGGCTGTCTGTTTTGCTACTGAACAAAGTATCGATAAGTTTGTGGTGGATCGTGAGGAAGAGGTATTGCAATTCTTGGAGAAGTTCAGTAATATAGGGGATTTGGAGTCTCTGGCAAGATGTCTAAATGAAAATCCGATCGATATGTCCAACGCATCGAACGACCTTATTTTGTGCGGACACTCTTCGATCATTTCTTCTTATACAAGAACGACATTCTACTACAGTCCATGTCTGAAAGCGAGCTTAATGCGTATGTTTGGACTCTGTTACTTAGGAATGCCTTTCTCGGAAAGGATTATATGAAACTAAGTTGTGGGGAGCTATCTTCTAAGTCATACGAAAAACTCAAAGAAATCCTAAACATTGCTGGTCGTAGTGCTCCAAAGTTAGACGGTAAAGGATTCCTTAAATATTTAGGCACCGAAATCCTTGCACAAGAAGACGGCGTCCTAAACACCCACAGCAAAAGGACAGGAGATCTCCGGAAATTAGAGTATTGCTCCAAAGTGATCCTCACAACCTAGATTCTTTGTGCTCCCTTCTGCCGCCAAAGCTGATATCACGAAAATCGAAACTTACAATCTTTAATAGAATGGATTTCATCTCAAAATTTCTGCATCGAAGTATTTGTTTGAAGATACCATTGTTACAATGGATTTACAGCATGTGGAAGTTCCAAGGACCGGAGGGATTTTCTAAGCTGGTGGTTGGTGCAAAAATAATTCTGTCTTGGAAGGCGCGGACTAAGAATAATACGATGGCTTTTTATGAGGCATTGAGGAAAGGTCATAAACGCTTAACAAATGGGGCCTTTTTTTCGCCAATAAAGATATCTGTATAGATCTCATTTTAGTTCTCAACTTCGATGCAAATTGTAATCAAAATCCTTTATCATTATGACACATGACCTGGTGATATACGTATATAATAATCTAAAATAAAGCTTCTCTATCATTAATTAGCCGGTCCCTTCTCAATATTCTCATTTTACAAAAATAATAAAGATATGATTTGACCTTTTTAATTCTTGTATCGTGCTGAATAATTTGGTTTCTCTGATACTTTGATTGTCAAAATTTCTATAGAATTCGAAATCCGAAGCGTGAACCGAATTTAATCGTGTTTATTTTTATTGGCATTTTTCCGAGACATTATGTTCTGCAAAATTTAAATCACGTGAACTTAACATAGGTACTTTGCACAATTTGAATGAATGTGCTTTCTATATAAAGTAATGTCTAACATTCAATCCAAAATCGATTCGTTGCAAGAATTAAATTCCAAGCTTTTAGCCGAGATTGCCAAACTTAGAAAGGAGAATATTGAGGTCAAGGCTGAGAATACAAAATTGAAACAAGATAAAAAAGAAATCGAGGCCAGAATCGTGGTGTTAGAACAGATCACCAAAGAAAATGCTGAGCTTAAGACTAGAGTCGCGAAATTGGAACAGACTGCAGAAGAAAACGCTGAGCTTAAGGCTAGGGTCGCGAAATTGGAACAGAAGCAGTCACAAAACGATATTTCTTCCGATAACTGTCCATCCAACTTCTCTCCCATATCGCCAGAAGATAAAGAAGTCGATGATTTTATGGATTTGAAAGTTAAAGAAAGGGTTGGTAACGAGATAAGAGATAGAAATAGAGAAAAAAAGCTTCAGCGCGAATCTGCTGGAAACCAAGCCCAAGACCTATTGCAATTTCATGAAATTACATCCAGAATTATGGAGGCACGACCCCAAGTTAATAATAATATAAAAACCGTTCCCTCAGGGAACGATCAAAGTCATGTGATTTTAACAGAGTCGCCTTCGTTGCAAACTGAAGTATCTGAATTAGAACTGGATGACAAAATTGATAAAAATCAAATCATTGAACAAGATTTAATACAGGAATTGCATTTACCTACAAAAGAAAACGATAGCTCTATCAAAATAAGCAATTCTGGCGACAAATCGGGAATATGTCTTCGGAGGAATCGATGATTGTTTCCTTTGGAAATTCTGCCCAAAATTTGTCTCATTTATTTAAAACAGCAATCAAATCAAGACAACAGGAAATCTTAAATTGGTATTATTATTCTTTTGAATTCGAAAATAAGGTTCGTGATATTATAGTTGCCGATGATAAAATCAAAGATAAAACAGCTAGAACAATGATTTACAAAGAAATGAAACCTTTTCTTTCTAATATCACACAAGATAACCTGCGCAAAAAAACTCTTAGAGCTAGAAAACTTCTTATGTTATTCGGAAAAGATGGAGTTGGAATAGATAAAATTAAGCAAGTCACTTATAGCGCGAATGAGATTTCAAAACTGACTAATGCCCAAATCCAAAATATTATAAATCAAGTGACTTTTAAAACCGTTCACATGACTTTGGCCATGCCAGCTCCGCTGAAAAAATCAGATGTAAAAGTAAGTGTATCAATCAGACCTCAAATCAATATACAGTAAGTATGACACCTAAATCCCAAACCTCTGACTCTTCTGGCTCGACAATCAAGATAAATTTACCACCAATCTCTCAACCCAGAAAGATAACGCCATACAGTGCTCGTCTTCTTATATTAACACGATATTAAAAGATCATTCTTACCTATCCTTGCGACATAGTAATCCTCGTAGTGACAGCTATGCATTTAATAGTTTGGGAGCATGTCCGAAATGTAAGCAAGAGCATAATAAAGGGTTTATAATTGGTATATACATAAATGATTCTTATAACATTAAGTGTCGGTCCTGTTCTCCAGATAGCTTCGTCGGATGTGTTTTTTAACTATTATTGCTTTGCAATCGCCTCTAGTAATACATATCTTACTGAATATTAGTACATAGTGGTTATATTTTTTTCTAGCAATGCTTTCTCAGCATTTTTTTCAGTACATATATATATATCCACATTATATGGATTAAGGAACCTCCTTTATAATTATACCATAATTTTGCAAAAGTCGATACTCGTTCAATATAATATCTATTTTTTCTTCCTGATTTGTTATTAATTCTCAAAAAAACTGTTTATCTTCTTCTGTAATCGGGAGATGAATTTTTTCAGGTTTAAAGCCAATATATTGAGAAAATTTTTCACGTAATTTAACCATTTTGTATATTTTTAAGCCTTTAATATAAATTATTTCAAATGCACAAAAATTGAATCATATAATTCTAAAGTATATAGTTGATAAAATCTAATAGGTTAAAATACGATATAATTACAAACTCTAAAAAACATTATAATTAGATTATATAAAATGGTTAGCTTCAGTAAATTACGTGGAACTAATTGTACTGATGCTGAATAGGATGAATATGTAAAGTTGTCACAAATTCATGGTAATGAAACTCCCAGTGAGTGGATGAAACAGATTTGGGAACGTCTTACATATTTTAGAGAAAATGATCTCTTACCTTATAATAGCAAAAAATATCTTGAAGCTAGGAAGTTAAAAAGATATTGGAATGATAATGGGCAGAGCCCAGACTCTTTGAGTCATGGATTTTATATGAGTTATACACCTGAAATTGGTATTGCAATCTGTTTCTCTTGTAATCAATTATTATATACAGGAAAACGAACCAAAAATATAGGTAATTATAATCACATAGGAATGGAGAGGCATTTGGCTTCCCATTGTACAGGAAATACCTTTTGTAATATAAGTTATTAAGAATATATGAAAATTAAGCAAAAATCTAATTCAGAATATAATTATAATAACGAATATGCATTACATAATTATGAATTATGGATGCAGAATGCCATTAGAAGAGTTAAAGTGCAAGAGAAATTGGTAGAAAAATCAGAGTTATAAATATTATATTATAGAAATGGCTTGAATATGCAGTATATATAAACCAGATGGTCTCTGTACTTCAGAATTAGTATTACATTATCAATTACCATAGATAGTTTGAGAAGAAATGTGACAAGTTAATAAGGTATAATATACATTTTTTTTTTTTGGAACAGAAGCTCAGCCATGTTTATTAACTTTGATAATATAATATAAAAATTAATGCAGAGATTATAAAGGTTGTCATGTGGAACTATATATCATTTATGTCAATAAAACTTCCTAAAACCTGATCTTTAATAGATTTATTGGGTGGCTTGTTGCCCAGAGATATTTGGTTGGATTAAATTTCCACTACTACTACTATCTAGAAAAAAAAACTAAACATCCTCTATTGAATCTTCAATTTTTCCAGAGTCCTCCCAACTAATATGCTAAGGTGGACTTGCTAGTTCCAAGAAAAGAGAGGTACACCTTTCTTTTGATCCTAGTGATTATGACCTGTCACCAATTACTAAGTGTATTCAGAGAAAGAGTATGAGTTCAATAGATATTTTGTGTCATACGAGAGTGAAAAAAAAACTATTTGGATCAGAATGAAAAAATCTTGGAGTAATTTTAAAATGGAAGAATAGTTGTGTCTTCAAGAGTTGTGTGAGTTCTTGAGGTTCTATTCCAATAGAAGAGGTACTCATTCTATAGCTATGACACTTTCAGAGAATAATGAGAAAGAGGAGACCACAGTCCATATGATGTTTATCTACTCGCATTCCAGCCAATAATTTATGATGGACCTAAGGTTTTTATGGAGCTTAGGAAATACATTTTCATCATTTGTCATGTATATTCTTGTTTACATTTCTGCTAACTATGGAGCAACCAATCTCAATCTTCAGCCAATCAATCCGTCCAAAATCTGGTGTAACAGAAAATTCAGGATCAAGCTAGGGTAGGCAAAATCCCCCAGAAAAATCAAAAAAGAACCACTACACACTGAAAGAGAAGCCATTTCTACCTGTGGTAGTGATGTCAGCAAGCTGATATAGAGTTGTTGGCCATACTTCTTCTTGAACTTTGGGACCTTCATAAGGAAGAGAAGAATAGTATTTTTTTATCAGGTTTTTTCTTCCTAAAAAAGCTTTCTTGTCATTAACTTCTTAGGTAGAGGGTTTTTGAAGAGAAAAAGTAAACAAGAAGGGTAAAATAGGACTGTTGTTAAGTAAAGCAGGTGTTTTTAAAGAGAGTTTTAAAGTTTTATTACTCTTAAAACATAAAGTTTTAAAGGAATACTTCTTTAGAAGTGGTGGTTAGGAATCTACTGGAAAGAGTTGATCCAAGGTATAATATACATATCTACTTATTATATAACTTATTCATATATACATATATATATAAACCTGATAGTCTTTGTGCTTCAGAATTAGTACTTTCGATTTTTCTATATTAATCTGTTTTATGAGTTATAAAAATTCTTAATATACTGTAAATAAAAGATTCTGCTTGTTATTATTATTATGAAGCAATGGCTCAAAGAGTCTACACATCCACTTTAATTTCAATACAGGTAGATACATGCAAATGAACACATAGTTCAGTGGCAAATAGGATGTATTGTATTAATGTATCAATAAATAGCTGAAAAAATAATCAAATTAAATTAGAGGTATTATATATTCGTTATTTTTATTTTTTTTATTTTTTTTTTCAGTAATCTGTAGAGCAGTTCACTC